TTTACTTATATTTCCAAACATTTTATTGCCTGTTGCGGGTTTTACTCCGTAAGCAATTGTCCCACATTTTTCAGAGTCGAATGGAAAGCTGTTCGGAAAAAAGTTACTACACCATTTCCAGTTGGATTTTGGAAGGCGTCAATTGGATTTTAGAATAATCAATTGTATTTTAGAAAGCGTAAATTGGATTTTAGAATAGTCAACTGGATTTTAGAAAGGGCCATATGGATTTTAGAATAGTCAACTGGATTTTAGAAACGATCAATTGGATTTTAGAATAGTCAACTGGATTTTAGAAAGAGTCAATTGGATTTGAGAATAGTCAATTAGATTTGAGAAAGTGTAAATAGGATTTTAGAAAGCGTTAATTGGATTTTTTAATGATTCATACACTATGCTATGCAAATGATTATGTAGTTTCAAATATTGCTGAAGTATCAGTTATAACTACTTTTTATTAAGTTTTAACAATATAATATATATTAAAGTTAAACAACAGGTTACATTTAGGAATATACGATCTGTTTGAAGTATAAAAGAAAGCGGATAATGAAGACGTGAGCGGAATATTAAAATTATGTAGTAGAATAATGTATATAACAAGAATATAGGTGCACAGGAGTGAAATGTAATGTAATAGTAAATGAGTAATGTAAATTGGAAGAGCAAGACAATAGTATATGTAACAAAATGCCATGTTTTACATACTTGGAAGAAATAAAATGCCATTTAAAAAAATTTTATTCACCAACTCTCATATCTCGTTTGGCAATTGCATCCGCATAGAAAGTAGTACTGTTCGCTTAAAAGTGAATATTTTAGAAAGATTTTCATTGACAAATACCGCACATAAGAAAAAACTGGCTACTTCAAAATTTTTGTAGAAAATTCTAAAATTCACTTTACATTTTCTAAAATCCAATTTACGTTTTCTAAAATCCAATTTACGTTCTCTTAAATCCAGCTAACTATTCTAAAATCCAATTTACGCTTTCTAAAATCCAGTTGACTATTCTAAAATCCAATT